CTCCGGAGGCCTGTAGAGGAGAGAGGGCTGCTTTCACGCATCGAGTAAACACCCTCGGGGAAAGGGAGAGCCCGAATGGGAGCACCCGGAATTGCCAATGGCGCCCCCGATAGGCGAACCTGAGAAAACGGCGATGTTCTGCTGCAATAGGCACGTGAAAGTAGGCGTCTGTCAGATCTACTGATGTAAACCAATCTCCCGCCACAATGGTCTGAAGGACCTCTGTTATGGTGAGCATGTGGAAGGGAAGGACCTTCAGGTACCGATTCAGTCCCCTTAGATCTAAAATGGGGCGAAAACCGCCGGTCTTCTTGGCCACAAGGAAGTATGTGGAGTAGTAGCCTCTGGGTTGCTGCAGAGGATCTACAGACTCGATTGCCCCCTTGCCCAGGAGGGCGGAAAGCTCCTGGTCTAGTGCCTGAGATTTCACCGGGTCTGTGATGACAGTCATCTTGACCCGGTGTGAGAGGGGGGGCCGCCGTCGGAACTGGAGCCTGTAGCCATTGGTTAAAGGAGAAGTTCGGGTTTTTACACTTTAAGCCCATTTTCTGTAGTGTCCAGGATGAAATCGAATGAAGGACACCAAAATTTTGACAATTGCTCCTGTCTCTGCTTTTTGGCTCATTTAGAATCAACCCCTGGCTGCTTTAGAATGGCTAGCATAGAGCATGTCCGATAATGTCCTTAAAACAACCTTAAACGTTCTTTTTTTTAAATATGCTACTCACCGTGTCGTCAGCGCTGTTCAATGACGTTCCAAAAAAAGTTTCGTGAAGAAAAAACGTTCCTGTAGTGTTTTATTTAACATTTTGTAAATCCCATTGAGTTCTGTAGGAATAGTCAATATTCCGCTGCCACCGGAAACGGAAATGGGGCCTGTTTACACAGTTGTAGTCTTTTCGCTTCACTCTGCGTACTCCGACGTCGAGGTGCTAACGTCTCTGTTAAACACTTTAAAAAACTCTGAAAATGGAATACGAAAGGTGGATTCTTGATTCTCGACGTCGGAGTACACAGAGTGAAGCGAAAAGACTACAACTGTGTAAACAGGCCCCATTTCCGTTTCCGGTGGCAGCGGAATATTGACTATTCCTACAAAACTCAATGGGATTTACAAAATGCTAAATAAAACACTACAGGAACGTTTTTTCTTCACGAAACTTTTTTTGGAACGTCATTGAACAGCGCTGACGACACGGTGAGTAGCATATTTAAAAAAAAGAACGTTTAAGGTTGTTTTAAGGACATTATCGGACATGCTCTATGCTAGCCATTCTAAAGCAGCCAGGGGGGGATTCTAAATGAGCCAAAAAGCAGAGACAGGACCAATTGTCAAAATTTTGGTGTCCTTCATTCGATTTCATCCTGGACACTACAGAAAATGGGCTTAAAGTGTAAAAAACCGAACTTCTCCTTTAAGGTGGCAACCACCCATGGATCTACGGCATGAGCAGCCCAGAAATTCAGCTGCTGATGGGAAAAATGTCCGACGGCTGGCCCGGTGGCATCATCTTCTATCCCCACGGCCCCTGGGGGCTCTGGGGGGAGGGCGTCCAGGATTTGAGGCCCGGGTCTGTCTAACAGGGCGGCAGACTGGCTCACGAAAGTCCCTTCTCGGTCTCTGCCGCACATCATGGGGATAGGAACCAACAGGTCTGCCAACGGTCTGAGGTCGTGGCTGAACGCTGGGGGTAGTGGCAGGGCGGCCCGAACGCTGGGGAAAGGCAGGTATGCTCCTGCGAAGGCCGGAAAGCTGCTGGCTAGTCTGACGTGCCTGAGCAGTCCGTTCCAGCGCCTCCAAGGCAGCTGATCCAAACAGCTCCCCTGGTACAACCGGGACACCCCTGAGGGTCCTACGGCATGCTTCAGTCAGAGGAGACTGTGCCAACCAGACCTGTCTACGAGCTTGGACAAGGAAAGACATGACCCGTCCAAGCTCTCTGGTCATCAGCGCGAAGGCCTGCAGCGCTGCGTCACTATAACCAATCGCCGCACTTGCACCACCAGTGTCCTGAACAGATGCAGACAGGGCAAACATGAGGTGCGCCAGGGAATTGCCAAGGCGGCCAGCACGCGCTCCTGCATTGTACGCCTTACAGAGGAGGTCATCTGTAACCCGACATTGAGTCCGCGGGCACCGGACATCAGGACGCAGGGCTTCATCTGGTGACACAATCAGTGAAGCAACAGCTGGTTCAATTGCTGGCATACGGTCCAGGCCGGCCTTCACTGACTCATGCATGGCAGCTAATACACGACCATCCGAGGAGAGACGCGACAGCGCTCTCGGTTCCCGCCAACAGGCGTGTAACTCCTTCAGGTACTCCTCTGATGGAGGTACAGAAAAAGGAGTAGGAGCCCTTCCACGTCTGAAAAAAGCACTGCCAGAGCTGGATGCCTCTCCTTGTGGGAGTTCCAGCTGCAGCTGCTTCAGGGCCATAGACATGACCTCCCGCATGGAACCGTCACCGGCCTCTCCAACCGCACTCTGAGATGAAAATGAACCAGCCTCAGAGGCTTGAGAGGACCCTGCCTCCTCCTCATCTCTAAAATGAGAAGCGGAGGCAGCCAGAGAGATAACGTCATCCTCTACAACCAGCTCGGGCATTGGTGGGGAAGAGAGCCCAACCACTGGGAGCGAGGGATCAGATTGCCGTGTCTGCAACAAGGACTTCATCTCTGCCAGCTCTGCTGACAACTGCTCCACCCTTGTGGACAGGCCCTGGTCAGGTTTGGCCCGCTTCCTCCGGGGGAGGGGCACAGATGCTGTGGTCCCACCACGGCGCTTAGAACGCTTGGGGGGAACCACCTGCCCAGAGGGCGGAAGGTCCGAGCCCTCCTGGGGGCACAACTGGGCCAACCGGGCCACCCTCACTGCATGGGGCATAAAGCTGCAGTTCATACAGGGGTTCTCAGACAGCGCCTCCAAAAGGTGCTCATGTCCAAGGCAGGTAGGGCACAGGTCGTGGCCATCCTCTGCCTGCAGGGCAGCCCCACAATCTATGCAGCTGTGAGAGCCATCCATGTCGAAGGCCGACAAGGCTTAAAGAACAGAAAGTTATCGAAAATCGGGAGAGGGGGCGCAAACGCAGCCGTCACCAATTACAGCAGAGAAACGAAAGAGGCTGCGAGCACAAGGCAGCCGATACTGGGAGAGGGGGCGAGAACCGCTACCGTCACCAGGTATAAAACCAATAAACCAAAAAAGCTAACAACGTTAGCTGTATGGAAACTTAAGTTGGAAGTAGGAGCGAACAACGCTGCCGTCACCAATTATAGCGGATAAAACAAGAGAGGCTGCGGACACAAGGCGGCCGATACCGGGAGAGGGGGCGAGAACCGCTACCGTCACCAGGTATAAAAGCAATAAACAAAAAAAGCTAACAACGTTAACTGTATGGCAACTTAAGTAGGGAGTAGGAGCGATAAACGCTGCCGTCACCAATTAAGAGAGCAGACCAACGAAAAGGCTGCAAAAAAAGGTTGATATTGGGAGAGGGGGCGAAAACGCTGCCGTCACCATTTATAATTAAGCAGACCGATGAAGAAGGCTGCAAACAAACCAAAAAAGGCTAACAACGTTAGCCGTCTCCAACTTCGGCAACGAAGTAGACCACACTTGGTTGGGAGAGGGGGCGAAAACCGCGGCCGTCAGTAATTATAGCAGCGCAGACGGGTGAAAAAAAGGATGCAAAAGTAGGAAATATACTGGGAGAGGGGGCGAAAACCGCTGCCGTCACCAGGTATAACACCAACAAACTAAGGAAGCTAACTACGTTAGCCGTATATAACTTCGGCAGTGAAGTTATTCACACTGGGAGTAGGGGCGAAAACGCTGCCGTCACCAGTTCGGAACAAAACAGCACGAAGCTGTAGGTAAAAAGCTAAAGTCGTGAGCCGGGAGAGGGGGCGCGGACGCTACCATCACCAGCAAACAACTCACTTACCTTCCGTAATCTTCAGAATCGACCCGTTGCAGCCCTGGGAGGGCGGAGAATAACCGCAACTCCGGTCAAGAGACAGGGGCTTCAGACAACGGGGAAGTTAGCGAACCGCTTGCGAGAAGAAAAAAGGAGCAGAGCAAAGGATGACACCAGGCTATATAGCTTCTGAGTGGTCATCCGGTGTCACAGGTGTGACTCTGTTGGTATAATTACTCGAACTGCGCATGCCCGAAGGGAACATTCAGTGCTTTCAGCACCGCCCTCTGGCGGTCAGTAGGGATGAAATAGAACTTTCTTCAAGCAGAGGAGCTCTGAGGCAGGTTCCCTAAAAAGAGGCTCATCATTGTGAATCTAATCAATCTAGTCAATAGAGACAATCTAATCAAATTTAGTTGAGTTATTAGAACTTAATGTTCAACTTGCACGTATTGCAATAGATGAATTACAGATCCATAGGTTTTCAAAAGTAAAGCTGCTGTCTGGATGTGTTTAGATGCCAGGGTTGCCAGCTGTGCCTTAAAGAGGGAGCTGTCCCCTATGCAGAAACATTAGGTGTCTAATTTAATTTAGATTTTATTCAAATCCTAACACACTGGAAAAGAATTGAAATCTAAATGAGTCATTTTATCTTAAAATAAGTGCATTTTTTCTTGAATTGAGGAGGAAAGTGAGACACTTTGCCAATGGAACAAGACAATTTACATTTAAAATAACAAAAAAAATATTTCATTGTCTTATTTCAAGTGTATATTATCTAATCATCTTATTTACCTACTCAAATTAAGGGTAAATATACTTAATTGAAGACATTTTGACTTATTTCTAGATTATTTTTGCAGGGCAAAATTAATTCACACACAAAACAAGTTGATACTGTTGGTAAGAAGTGTCACTTCTTTGTAGTTGGCAGCCCTATCAGTTACCTGATCAATAATCTGATGGTGGAAACAGACCAAACCACTCTGACTCCTCAGACCCAGAGACCAGCTGTCACGTTTTTATGATTTAAAGTCCTGATCCTCACTATGACCTGCATTTTTTTTTCTTTTCATTTAGATTTTTCAGACAAGAAGAGTGACCTGCGTGTCTGCGACGCTGGAACGTGTCGTTTCGGAGGGACGTGCCGCGAGAACGGAGCCGACATCAAGTGCGTCTGTCAGTTCCATGTGAGTCTCCCATACGCAAACAGAATGTTCCCTGCAGGCCACAGATAACAGCACTGCTTCAAACAACCATCCAGATCAGTTTTCCTTCATTTCAGACAATGAAGAACAATAGTAGATCTATAGATCTACCAGAGTTAAAGAGCTTATCAAAATGTTCTTCTCTAATTTCCTCTATGTTGTTGTTTGCTGTTTCAGTGCAGTAAGAAGTACGTCCCTGTGTGTGGCTCCAATGGAGACACGTACCAGAATGAGTGCTTCCTCAGGAGAGCCGCCTGCAAAAAGCAAAGAGCCATTAGCATCGTGTCAGACGGAGCCTGTTACCACGGTAACACTCTCATCCACTCATACTCAGTACTTTAACTAGAAGGTAACTGTAATTATACTCGTCCTAAATAATGCATAAGTCGGGATCATCAGCTCTGCTGCTAAATGATCATCTGCTCCCACAGAACATCCATGTAGTTAAATGGGCTGCGTTTCATTGTTTCCCCACAGAAACAGCTGCAGTAGAGATAAACCAACACGTTCAGGAGAAAATTCACAGCAGAAAGACTCATTTACTGAAATACCGCTACTGTTTTCATAATGTTCTCTATTTGGTCCTTTCCACACAGTTCAAATATCTAATACATGAAAATTAGGAAGGATGTAGAGTTTTTAAATACTCTAAATAGAAAATATAAATGTATTGTCCTTAAAGTCTTTTAAAATCAGAGTGAAACACCAGAGACACGATGGCCCAGTTTGGGTTCTTTAACTGTTGGAGAAGCAGAGAAATTAGAGAAAGGGAAGAAGATGAATCCTTCAAGGAAGGGTTTGGTTTTATAGCCATTTTTCATCAGACCAACTCCAAACATTCTGGTTTGGTAAAGAGACATCTTAAAGTTTTTAGCGGCTCCAACTGACCTCAGTAACACAGAGGTTGTCTTAAGGGAGCAGGACCCTCATGACGGAAAAAGAGCTTAATCAGAAGTTCAGCTGCATGGAACTCATCAAACTGTACCGTCTAGCTCTAGCAGTAAGAGTTCTGCTCAGCTGATTCCTGATAGTTTTGAAGTGACGGAAACACATGGCTGATGGTAGGCAGATTGGGACCCAGACAGAAAGCTGCGCTCTGGGTCACATGACTGAGGCTCATTTAGTCAGATTGTAGCTCCGCCTCCTGTTCCTAGATTCTAACCTTTCTGTTTTTATTGGATCGACAGTAGGAGCCTAGATGATGCGATAAAACTAGGACTACAGCTTTCTGGAAAAGAACTACAAAAAATAAAGTTAGTTAAATAAATGTAGTGCTGCATTATAAAACCTAAAACACATGAAGATGTTTAAATAAGCATGTTTCACACAGAGTAGAGTGAAGAAATAGTGGACGTTTGTGAAACTCAAGGATAATAATCTATGCCAGTATGTTAATAGTCTAGTTGTAAAAAAAGAAAAAAAAAAAAAAGGGTGATGGTGATATTCTTTTTTTTCTTTGGAAGCATATATAGCGTAATTAATTAAAGGAATAGTTCACCCAAACCATGATTAGCCTTTATTTTCTACTCACCCCCATGCTGAACAACACTCTGGAGTACTTTTTTGATATCTCAAATGCATCTGGAGATCTGGGAGGCTTCTTGCTGTCTGCTGACATTCAAATAATGGAGGTCTATGGTGACCGAGACAGAAAGGTCCATAAAAGTCCACAAAAAACGTGTCAATATTCCTCCATACTGCTCGTCCAATGTATTCCAAGTGTCCTGAGTGGGTAGCGTCCATAATTTACTCGAAACAAAGTCATTTAGAATGCTTTTAGAGCATAAACAGTAGTGTATAGGATTTCCTAAAAGCGCGCGCCTGCGAGTTCATGAGCCTACGGAAACCGCGGCAGACCAAACCAGATGAAAGTGCGCATTCATAAAAGTCCACAAAAAACGTGTCAATATTCCTCCATACTGCTCGTCCAATGTATTCCAAGTGTCCTGAGTGGGTAGCGTCCATAATTTACTCGAAACGAAGTCATTTAGAATGTTTTTAGAGCATAAACAGTAGTGTATAGGATTTCCTAAAAGCGCGTTCACGAGTCTACGGAAACCGCGGCAGACCAAACCAGATGAAAGTGCGCATTCAGCTCGGCAAAGAACTCATGCTCTTCCTCAACACTGAAGTCCTCAGACATTTTTCTTTTGTTGTTTCTTTCCTTGCACAGGTAAACAGCACATTTCTTCTTCTACGCTTGCATTATCGGCAGAGCAGACGCTGAATGCGCACTTTCATCTGGTTTGGTCTGCCGCAGTTTCCGTAGGCTCGTGAACTCGCAGGCGCGCGCTTTTAGGAAATCCTATACACTACTGTTTATGATCTAAAAACATTCTAAATGACTTTGTTTCGAGTAAATTATGGACGCTACCCACTCAGGACACTTGGAATACATTGGACGAGCAGTATGGAGGAATATTGACACGTTTTTTGTGGACTTTTATGGACCTTTCTGCCTCGGGCACCATAGACCTCCATTATTTGAATGTCAGCAGACAGCAAGAAGCCTCCCAGATCTCCAGATGCATTTGAGATATCAGAAAAGTACTCCAGAGTGTTGTTCAGCATGGGGGTGAGTAGAAAATGAAGGCTAATCATGTTTTGGGTGTACTATTCCTTTAAGTCTATTAACCTAAAGCAACATGCATGGTCTGGTTGTTACATGTCAGGTTCGCTGGTCATTGACCTTGAACAACCTTACAGTAGAGCTGCAGTTATTTTCCCACTAAGATCAGCTTCATGGTCATGGTAGGACACTTCTTTGATTTCATTTAATTTGCTCAGGCAACTCATAAGCCCACAGCCCATTGAATGTTAAATTTGCAATATTATTGCCATTACTGTTAATATATAGTAGAAATTTTTCACATTCAGCAAATGAATGTCACAGAGGATGGTATGAGGGATGCTCATTTAAAAAGGGGGATGTCATCCCCCCTCACCCCCCTCAACTTGAGTACTTGTCATAATACAAAAAGGATTGTGGGATTCCTGTTAGCTTCCAGTTAGGAATGTTGGTAGGTCCCTATGTTGAATGTACTATTAATAGGAAGCCTACAGGTACCTTTTCCTACCTCCTTCTTTACGCCTGGGACCTCAACCAAAGGCCCCACGGGATCTGGAAGGGGTGTGTTTCTACCACGTACCTATTTACACCAAGATTTTCTGTCGGTTTTAGAAGCATCACACTAAAGTCTTGCACCTTAAGGCCTGAAACAGAACAATAAACCTGTAAACTGTAATCTGTAATCTGGCAGTATTAATCATGTCTTACATGCCTGCTCTTTATCTTAAAGTTATCTTCTTTTCTTTGTATCTATTTTCAGGGGACATATTTAGTATAGCTAAATATATATATATATATATATATATATATATATATATATATATATATATATATATATATATATATATATATATATATATATATATATATATATATATATATATATATATATATATATATATATATATATATATATACAGTGTTGGGCACGTTACTTTGAAAAAGTAATTAGTTATAGTTACTAGTTACTTCTCCCAAAAAGTAACTGAGTTACTAACTGAGTTACTCCACAATAAAAGTAACTAGTTACTAGTAAAAGTAACTATTGCATTACTTTTGCATTTCTCGCCCCCGTAACCCTTACCACCCAGCCCCCACCTTCTCGCGGTGTGTTTCCAAAGCCAGCTGAATAGAGCGGACGACAAAGACAAGAACCTGCAGAGAGTTGTGCATTTCTTGTAACTCAACGTAAATGACATCAGGGGGGAACGCCATGTGAAGTTTTTTAACAGGGCATTCAGATCTGGTGAGTTTATGAAATTAATAACTGGGGATGTCTAATTCTGAAATCCTGTTTGTTTGGGTTGTTATAGATGCTGCAACATCTATCTATCATCTATCTATCTAGATCTATACTCTGTGTGTGACATAAAATATGGATCTCCATCCCTGTCACAAAGGCCATCAAATAATGTTTAAAATAAAAAATACAGTAGGTTGAAAAGGCAGAGTATCCATCCATCCATCCATCCATCCATCCATCCATCCATCCATCCATCCATCCATCCATCCATCCATCCATCCATCCATCCATCCATCCATCCATCCATCCATCCAGATTTCTCCCTTTCTCCATATAGGCTATCATTTCTGGCTGTTATCAGGTTCATTTGATCGTTCACGCTCTCCGTAGTTCTCCTGTGGCGCGAGCACAGGGCGGCTGTTGCGCGCCTTTAGCGAGCATGCGCGTTTCCTGTCGCTTGCGCGGTGAATCTTGCTGCCTGCGCTGTGCGGAGATGCAGAGGAAACCGTATCTGATGGGGAAACGCAGCTCGACGTTTGCTGCTGGATCCTCCTGACTCTCCATCTCTCTGTGTTTGCTGTACGTTAACACCCGGCAGCAGAAACACCCACCTACCCAACTGACAGACGGAATCTCACTATACATCAGCCATTCTCATCCTCCCCTCTCTCATGACAAGGCGCGCACCTCTGGATGACCTAAAAAAATAATCTTTAATATCTCTTAAACAAAAGTAGCACAAACAATATTTTTTTCTGCACAAATCTGCACTAACGTTGCACTAACCAGTCAGTCTATTTGCAGAGTTTTTTTGACGTGGGTGGGGTGTCAGCTTCACGCAGCTGCGCACGAGTCCTATCATGAAAAAAGGTTCATTGTGCGACCTGAGTAACGTGCAGTAACGGGGTGTCTGCAATGGTAACTGCGTTATAGTTACAGTCAAAGTAATTAGTTAGATTACTCGTTACTAAAACAAGGTAACGGCGTTAGTAACGCCGTTACTTTCAACGCCGTTAGTCCCATCACTGTATATATATATATATATATATATATATATATATATATATATATATATATATATATATATATATATATATATTTAGTATAGCTAAATATATATATATATAGTATATTATATAGTATTTCTAAGCCAAAACTAGGCTTTGTTTTTTATCCACTTTATAAAGCCAGGAACTCAATGCTATTTTTGACATTTTCAAATGAAAAAGCTTCCTGGATGGGAAGCGAAACATCTTCAAACTTGGAAACAAAGTCTAGTGGATTGTTTTAAATTTTTTTGGAATGACTATGACCTGAATGACTGAGAACCTTCACCATCACGCTGTCCCCACATGTTTCCATCTGCTTCACCAAGGTTGCAGAAAACTGTGTGTCCCTGGCACTAGTGTTTCCTTAGAGAGAGTATTCTTCACTGCCGGAGATATCATCAATGCTCAGAGAAGTGCACTTCTCCCCAAGCATGTCCATTATTTTTATTTTATTTTTATTCCTGAGCAAAAATCTGAAGAGAATGTAGAGAACTTGGAGAGGAGAGTTTCTGTTTAGTGTTCATTAAAGGTCTTGAGCTGCTCTGCTGTAGTGGGTACCATTTAAAGTATGCTTTAATGTTGCTCCTGTGGACTTGAATTACTGGCTGCCATGGTTTATTTTTCTTTTCTGATGGCTGGACTAGCGTCCCCACATACTAATAGGCCTACAGGCCCTAAACTACTCAGCTTAGACGGGTACATTTTAAGTTCAATGTTTAAATGTTCTTCTTAGCGACTTTAATGATTGGATGTTTTGGAGAAGCCATGTTACTGTTTACTTAACTGGTAGCTAAACTTGCTTCCTCACATATTCAGTGTTGTCAAGATAAAAGAAAAGCTGTTTTTGTTGCTTTACTTTTTAACTCTCTTGTTACAGTAATTGTAATACTGCACTTTATTGACTTCAAAGACTTGTAAGCTACAGTTTGAACTAATCTGTGATTCATTTTATCCAGTATTTGCAAGCTATATGCTCTCTGTCCGTTTAGACATATACTATGCAATTTATGTTTTTAGTTTTTGGTTCATTTAATTAAAACCAAGTAAATACAACACTCACAAGATCTCACCTAAACCCCTCTGTCCCTTTTACCCTCCCAAAACGTTTTAAACCGTTTACAACTGATAAATGAGAATGCATGAAAATTACACCAGTAAGATTTTTACCAGTATAGAGATGTTAGACGTCGTTGGAAAGCTTAGATTCTCCACAATTCAACCACCAAGTTCATTTTATAGACAAAGCAAGCACCAAAGCACAATTAACACAGATATAGCAGCATGTCAAAATGTAAACGCGACAAAGCAGCCACAACAAGAAAGCACGTCTTAATTACTGCTGTTCAAAAAAGAGCTATTACTTTCAAGAATAAAAAAAAAACATTGAGTCATGTTTTATGTTATGCAGCTGGGGTATGTTACTCACCCAATGTATAGATTCAGAAACTAGAAGGTGTTAGCTTTCAAGTAATGCATCACACATGTAATTTGGGTTTACAGTTCCTAAGTTATTTGCTTTTCCATTTGGGTATGCAAAACAGGCGAGAATAACTGTCAGAAATTATGGAAGTGTATCGAATTATATCGAATCAAATCATATTGTTGACTGAATATAACAAGATATGTAATATATCATATCATGAGATGAATATCTATAATATATTAGTGTATCGCTACAAGCCTACTGTATATGTTGATTTTAACTGACACACTCGAGTGGATCCACCATGTTCTTCATCAGCTGACTTCCTCCTTGAATGAGCCCCTCTGCTCTAGATTACAGTGGAGTTGGTGCATCGAGCGGAAATAATAGCCACATATTTAAGAGAAGCAGACGGAACTGCAGACACTATTTAAACAGAGACTTGATGTGTAACAGCTGCAGCCTTCGTCTGCCGAACAAAATTGCTGCTTTCAAAGCGCTGGATGGTTCAAAATAACTTTTGCTTCCAGAGACGACTTTATCTACATGGAAAATCCAGCTGCTGAAACATTTCCATCCGTGATCACTCGCTGCTTCACATTATTTATCGCTCCACAGAAAAGATAGATTAAATCATCTGTAAATAAGAATAAACAGATGAATAAAATAATAAACATCAGCATTAGGTCTAAATCTAGCTGCTAACTTCAGATCTGCTCTCTTTGTTTATCAGATGGAGCTTCTGGGTCTGGAGATGGAGGTAAACAGTCATTTCCTGGTTGATTTTCTTTAATAATAAAAATCAAATACAGAACAAACTGTGTTGCTGTAGAGGAGCTCATGAAGTCTCGTTTCCTGTGTCTGCAGACGATGAAGGCTCTGGTCGGGGGAAGAAGGCCTCCAAATGTGGAAACTGCAAGTTTGGAGCTGAATGTGACGAAGACTCCGAGGACTTACTGTAAGCGCTCACCAGTCCAGCCACTGGTGCATAAGTTAGCACACAGGCCTTACGTGTTGATTTTGGTGTCTGCAGCTGCATGTGCAACATAGTGTGCAACGGACACAACGACAACCCGGTGTGCGGCAGCGACGGCCTCACCTACGACACGCCGTGCCACGTCCGCGAGGCGTCCTGCCTCAAACAGCTCAAGATCGACATCAAACATGTCGGACGCTGCCAAGGTAAACCGCCTCAAACACACAGGGAGGGGGGGGGGGGGGGGGGGGGGGGGGGCAGCGGGAGAGAGGTGGGTGGGAGGCGGGATCCGGCTGGGGGGTGAGGAAGAACAGAAGAACAGAAACGTTTCAGTTTATTTATATTTCATGATGACCTGACCTCAATCTACTAACACACCTATCTTCCTGTGAGAACCCACCATGATTAATTCATTACCGGGAATTCAGGTCTAAAAATCCTAAAGTTGGCCTCAGAGGGTCAGAGTCGCCATCATTTAGTCTCGTCCCTCTTTAATGGCGTCCCTGTATGTCAGACTAACCCCACCCTCTGAACAACCAGCTGGTGTCATTTAAAACCAACCTCTTCATTATCTGCTGAGTTTATAAACTGGGAACAATGAGGCTGAAAACACCTTTTTTACGCCTCTAAATATTTTAACATAAATTAAGCACAACTTTGAAGCCGTTCTCCCATTATAGCAGAAAGCTGCCATCAGCACCTGAAGGTGTTTTAATCAAAGAAAATCAGATTTTACATTGTTTGAAATTAAGGGCAGTGGTTTAATAATGAATTTTATAACACATAAACTGAATTTAATGGTTTTAAATGGAATTAATTTAAATTCAGTTCAGTTTCAACACATTTCATCTCAAGGCACTTTACAATTCACCAGATCATACAGTCAGATCGGTTCAAAGATTTTTATCTAAGGAATCCCCCAAACTAAGCATGCTTGTAGCGACAGTGGAGAGGAAGAACTCCCTTTGAACAGGAAGAAACCTCCAGCAGAACCAGGCTCAGTGTGAGCGGCCATCTGCTGAGGCCGACTGGGGTTCAAGGAGACAGAAGCAAAGATACAAAATACAAAATTAGCTTTGTCAACATATTTAGTTGTAAGTAAAAAGTAAAAGTTTTTCACCTTTCAGGTCTTGAATTTTCCTGAAAAATATCTACTTTGTGTCAGACATCAGTAGGTCTTTTAGACAGAATAATTAAACACAGATTCAGCAATTTAACTTTCACATTGGGTAAACGTATTTTACAACTTGATTTGAAGGAGTGAGGATCTGTTTGGTTCATTGGTGGTAAATCAACAATGTCTTTCTTATTATTTTCATTTTTTCCATTGACATCCAGAATCAGGCTTAACATCCAAAACATCAAATACTTGATGCATCTTGCTTCTGTTGGCTGTCCTAAATCCTAAAGTCGTATTACATCAGAACAACGAAAACTACAATATAAGAATCAGAATAAAAGCTATGTACAAATATGGATTCATGCTTTTTATATAAAACAGTCAATGGTTTGTGAAAATAAATGCAGGTCTATGGGGTGTGACATATTTGACCCAGTTTTCCCATTGCGAAGCAAATACTTCCCCTTTGTAACAAATACTGTAATCTTCTCCATTTTATATATTTTCACAGTAATGCTTTGTGTTTGTTCTTCATGTTGGTAAGAAATCAGGATCTAATGAAAGTAGCAAGAAAATTAAGATGTAAAAAAAGGCAGCCAGAAGCAGAGACGCTGAACGTCTCCATGTTGCATCCAGGCTGCTCTGGTTCCTGATAGAAAACAGAGAACCTCTTTTTAAAGCTGCAGTCGGTATCCATAGTTACACCTGATGAAGACCAGCTCTGATTAATTTGTGTTGCATAATTGCTGCTTATACAGGCACCAAATCATTAGAGTGCTGCTTCCGTTGTAGCGTTATTTAAGCAGGAATGAAGTTGTTTCTGAGTGACGCGCAGCTCTTCCTTAGTATGCAGCTCTGTCAGCTCCTTTAAGCAACAATCAGAGGAAATCTTTTATCAGAGCTGAAGGATTTCTGGTATAATTAGTTAGAATAGAGCTGCTATAGTAGTGGCTGTGTGTGAGGTCTATGCAATGTTTTTAGTTTAATCTCCATCCACTGGAATCTTTTTATTATGCAGTGAAGGAAGGTTTAAAGTTTAAAGTTGTTTTTTTTCTTTATATGTATGAAAATGGGAATGTTCAATGAGGTTTAATAAAATCTGAACATTTTCTGAATCTCTTCGACTTTGCAGCAGTTCACTGATTTATTCAAGCTCATTGTTTGTTTACATTAAGATATTTCTGATGTTTAAATTGAACTTTATTGATCTCACACTGGAGAAATTTACCTCTGCATTTAACCCATCCTCTTTGGGAGTAGTGGGCTTTCATTGTGTGGCGCCCAGGGGGCAGTGTGAGGTTAAGGGGAGTGTTGTGCCGATGCCATTTTTTGGCCCCGATACCTGGCTGTGCAGTATTGGCCGATACCGATACCATCTGTTTGAAAGTGATGTGTGTGTATATATGAGGAACTGCATACTACTTGGATGTAAATAATTGCCATCATGGCTTTGTCAAGCTGCTGCCTATCTTTGTGAAGCAGGAAAAAGACTAAAACAAAGTGAATCCAGTAGAACTTTTTATTGCCTACCTGGAATGGGTGACAATAGTTAAATAAACTTTTTAGCTCTCAAAATGGTAACAGTGCTCTATTTGTTGGTACTCGCCGATACCGATACTACCATTTTAGTGATGGACCGGGGCCCCGCCTGATACTGGTATTGGTGCATCACTAGTTAAGGGTTTTGCTCAGGAACCCAGAGTGCAGGCTGTGAGGATCGAACCGGGTACTTGCAACCTTCTCAGAGCACAATCACACTGCTCTAATCACTAGGCCCACATGTGAATATAATATAAATCAGCTTTTAAATACATTAAATCACTTCCATGTTTTATCTGGACTCATCTGAAGGAAAAGTTAACTGTATACAAACACCTCATGGACTTTTTGTTTCCCCCTTTTTGTAGATAGATTAGAGATCTCACATTAGAATCAACACAGCTCGTTTCTGCAGACATGTCCTGGCCCTGAGGCAGCTCTGATGTGTTTGTCAGCTCCTCTGTAAACGTCTCCATCACATCACATTAAGCTGCACTCAGGCCTACATGTCTGTGCTGAGGGAGGGGAGGCTCTGTGCGTTTAATAAAGTCAGAGGAGTTCATCCTCTTGAGGAGCAGATCTGAGATCAGTCAGGCAGCAGATAATGTGACCCAATTCACCTGTAATGTCATCCAACAACCAACAAAGTCAGAAAAACCAGTGAAACAGCCGAGAATCTCCACTTCAGATCAAACAAACATCATAAACATGATCATTTAATGAAATACTGGAAAATACGCAGCAGGCTTCAGAATCAAACTTCATAAAGCAACACTGTATGTTTAAGCCACCAGGGGGCGGTAGAGCTGTCCGGTTTAGCTCTCCTGAAGGCCAAAGGCGTCTCTGCACTGTCTCAGATTGAACCAGTCTCCCTCAGTGTTTCAGGATGTGGTAGCAGGAGCCTTTGACCAGCAGGTAGAGAAGTCATAGAGTTAAAACAAGGCCGCATTTACCCTCTAGATCAGAGACTCCCAAATGTTTTGGTTTCTAACCCACAGAATGGAACCAGGTCTGGATCTCATGATCCAGACCTTTGGTTAGAAAACAGATTTTTCTAATCATAAATATCATAATAATTATAGCAGCTTCAACAACCAATGTGTTGTTGGTTTAGTCTATTTGTAAACTATGTTTTAATATCTTTGAACACATAAAGAAGCTTAATCATTATAATTTCTATTGTTTAGTTACATTTTTATAAAGGATCTCATCAATGGTGAATGAAGAATTTAGCAGTAGTACTTGAGTAAAAGTACTGATACTCATATTTAAATCTTACTCAACTACAAAAAAAAGTTATGTTTAAGTGTTGAAGTACTCACATTCAAATAAAATGAAGTACTCAGAATTCAAAATGACTTTTCATTTTAAAGTGTATTCACTCTTAAGTATTCAAAAATACAAATAAAATGTTCAAATATCAGTAAATTTCGGTATCATTTTCAAAGTAACTTTAAAGAAACTTTAAAGAAACTTTCAGAAACCACCTGATGTACTGATACGTAGAACCACATTCTATAGATTCTACACCACCTGTAAAGGACTTCAGCATTAAAATGCCATAAAAAAAGAACAGCTATTTGGGTCTTTATTTATTATTTAAAAAACAAACCAAGTAGAAAACAGTAGTCTCTTGATTCTCCTCACTCTTTCACTATGAAATACAGGTTTAATATTAAATTTATTACCACAAAGATATAGAATATATAAAATTACAAATAATTTGTAATAATTTGTGCCCCGAGTTTCTTACATTTCTAGAATGTCTTTAAAACTCTCAACAGTGGAGTCCCAATTCAGTCCTAATGGCTGCTATCTGCCATTTTGAAACTGGATTAAAAAGCTAAGCTGAACCAAAAGGGAAAAGGAACTAAGACCTTGAAATGTAGTGAAGCGAAAGCAATCCTTCTTTCCCATCGCCCGGCTTGCCACAGGTTTGCCTGCTGTGTTTAAAAGTAGCAGCAGCAGCAACCCAGACTGACAGCAGCTCATTGGATCATTGGATCACATGTAGCCTGGTGCCGGACACTCTGTGTGGCTTTACGGTATTAACAGGAGAAGTGGCACGAGTGAAATTAGACACTGCTGTCGGACAGCATGCTGTAATTAATAAATATTTTAAATCAGGTTGGGTCTAGATTAGCCAGCAGATGGGTCTGGATCCGGACCGCGGTCCACTAATCTGTGACCTCTGCTCTAAATCAAGAACTGATCAGTAAACCTTTAATATGTTTGTTCAGGTCTGTTTTGTTGACTAACAAAAGTCTCTATCTTAGTTTGATCGGGTGTTAAAGGAATAGTACACCCAAAACATGATTAGCCTTCATTTTCTACTCACCCCCATGCTGAACAACACTCTGGAGTACTTTTTTGATATCTCAAATGCATCTGGAGATCTGGGAGGCTTCTTGCTGTCTGCTGACATTCAAATAATGGAGGTCTATGGTGACCGAGACAGAAAGGTCCATAAAAGTCCACAAAAAACGTGTCAATATTCCTCCATACTGCTCGTCCAATGTATTCCAAGTGTCCTGAGTGGGTAGCACCCAGAATTTACTCGAAACGAAATCATTTAGAATGTTTTTAGAGCATAAACAGTAGTGTATAGGACTTCCTCAAAGCGCGCGCCTGCGCGTTCACGACGCTACGGAAACCGCGGCAGACCAAACCAGACGAAAGTGCACATTCAGCGTCTGCTCTGCCGATAATGCAAGCGTAGAAGAAGAAATGTGCTGTTTACCTGTGCAAAGAAAGAAACAACGAAAGAAAAATGTCTGAGGACTTCAGTGTTGAGGAAGAGCATGAGTTCTTTGCCGAGCTGAATGCGCACTTTCATCCGGTTTGGTCTGCCGCGGTTTCCGTAGACTCGTGAACTACACTACTGTTTATGCTCTAAAAACATTCTAAATGACTTCGTTTCGAGTAAATTATGGACGCTACCCACTCAGGACACTAGGAATACATTGGACGAGCAGTATGGAGGAATATTGACACGTTTTTTGTGGACTTTTATGGACCTTTCTGCCTCGGGCGCTGGGCACCTCCATTATTTGAATGTCAGCAGACAGCAAGAAGCTTCCCAGATCTCCAGATGCATTTGAGATATCAAAAAAGTACTCCAGAGTGTTGTTCAGTATGGGGGTGAGTAGAAAATGAAGGCTAATCATGTTTTGGGTGTACTATTCCTTTAAAGTTACAGTCAGCCTGCCTTAAAGCGGCGCTCTGGGTCCCATGACTTTGGCTCATTCTCAGTTGAGCAGGTTGTAGCTCCCACCTTCTGTTCCCCCATGGACACCGTTCACATGGTCAAGAGTCAGAAAAATAAAAGTCTCAGCAAAAATAGAAACTGTTTCCATTTAAAAACATCCCAACTACTGTATTTAATTAAAATTACAGGCTGAGGAAATCTTTAATAAGTTCAATAAATGTTCTGCTGTTCTGCTTCTCTTTTATTTTGTGCAAAAACAAAACTTCTCCTTTTTTATTTTCAGATAAAAGCAGGAAAGATGACGGCCTGAAGGGAAAACCAGACATCTATGGTGCGTTGCTTCTTGTTGTGTTCATTTGGTCAGCCAATCAGAAATCAGAATTTTATTCTTCTCTTCTTTTATCCAGCTGTATCCAAGCCTGACCAGCGCGATGGTTTTCTGGACGGCGCTTTGCCCTGCCCTGAGGATTACGCCCAGTTCTGTGAACACGGCCAGTGTGAGATGAGACACAATCTGCCCACATGCAGGTGAGTAAACACCTGGAAGTTTTATCGGACCAGTCCAGAACCAGACCTACTCCGGTTCTCCCTGCATCTTTTAATGTCCCACTTTCTAGTTACTTTATTTCTCTTAGCTATTCTACCGCTTCATATCTAGATTTTCTCCAAACAACAATTGTCAAAGTGTGATTCAGCAAATGTAACCATGGTCACGAACATGTTGTTATTTGGACCAGGTGTGACGCAGCGTACGGCGGCCCTCAGTGTGACCAGCTGTTGGATTTTAACATCCTGTATGTGGTGCCCAGCGGCCAGAAGCTGCACTACGTCCTCATCGCCGCCATCATCGGAGCAGTCCAGATCGCTGTCATCGTTGCCGTGGTGATGTGCTTTACCAGGTAAGCACACCTGCTTGAGCAGGGGTCTGCAACCTGTACAATCCAAAGAGCCATTTTTGGCTTCAGTCCAGCTAATAAAACTTGTTTGGAGCAATTTTTTTATTTAACAGATATTCACTACATGTTGCTGATATTCTTGGAGAATCATATAAAAAAATTTAATTAAAATGTTCCAACTCGAAAAAGTGCAAAAATATATTTCTAATATACTAAGAGTCAATTGATTTTGTGAATTGAAAGATAAATACTTCAATGCAGCTAATCAAACTCATTGACAAACATTATTTTACCTTATTTAAACAAAAAAGAAAAATATAATTTATGTCTAATCTATATCCACCACAGAAAATGTGACTGCTTTAAAATAACCACAGTGACATTTAAATTCAAGGAAAGATTTGCAAAAAGAGAATAAATACATTTTCAACAGGTTGCTTCTATTTTAAGAAAATCCTGTTAAAAAACTACAATTTCTTCCTACTTTAAACATAAATTTCATAATCAGAGTCATTATGTTTGGGGTATTCAGTGCAATCACTTACTAGAAAATGCATTTGTTAAGAATAAGCTGACTCTTTATCATCTTTAGCCAATTGAACAAGTTTTGTTGAATGTTTGAAGAGCCGCCTGCAGCTCTGATGCAATTGGCTACCATGCAACAGCAAAAAGCTCATTAAACATTGCTGAGTGAGTAACGGAGCAGGTAGCAGGTCCTGGATTTGGTAGCTGAGAAGGAATTGAACCCTGAAGATTCAATACCATTTGTCTACCAGCAGGGGGCAGAAAACTCATTTCCCAGGAAACAGACCAGATAGTTTGGTTTAAACGATATTAAAAATGTTGGTTTAGAACATTTTAATATTCAATTCATAGGGAAATAATATTTAAATGTTAAATCATTCATGCTTAAAATTTTATATAAATGTACTCTTTATCAGACCATATCGTCCCAACATGTAGAAAATTTCTATTTAAAAAAATAATCCTGTCTTAAAATCTGTGTTTTTTTTGTTATCTTATGCCAGCCAGTTAGTTATACGTCAGTCTGAACACCTAAATTCGGCCAATCATATATCAACGGTCATCTGTCAATCAAATTTTTTCGGTTATAGCATCTTGATTCATATGTTGCAGCTAATATACACAACGGTTGAAATCAGAAATCAGAATCATTTCCTTTCCCATTGAGTTCCGTCCCAGTGTTCACGGGGATGGACGTCTGTGTCTTCAGCAGGCGTAGAGCTAACAGAACTGGCAGCGTTGCGAGGCAAGGGCTCAAACATGTACGGCTGTAAGCCTTCTACACCAAACCAAGCTTCTGCCGCCCTGGCGTCCTCTTCCACAACATCTTCGTCCCCACTTTCCTCCTCTAAATAAAAAATGTATGATGGAGGAGACTCATCCATGACCTCCGACACTAAACTCTCCTCCTCTTGCATGTTTCCTCTGTCCATAGCGTTCCTTGACAGTGTCGTTTCTAAGTCACCAATTTAGTGCTACTTGGTCCCAATGGAATTTCCCATTGGAAACCTGCTAGCACTAAGATGCTAACTGGTTAGCAAGATGCTTACGGCAACAATCAAACTTGCTTCCGCCACAAAATCCCGCCCCCTTGATGATCAACAAATCACATTCACTTTATTCACTCATGTAAAGCCGTGCACCACTCAGGAGAATTCAGAAATGCAACCGTTGGAACAGCCGCTTCTCTACGGCTTTAATAATCCAACGTAGAAATTCTATAGGAATAAAATCTACTCAAACTCTCATTTGTAGCCTTTCTCTTTTTTTTCTTCTTGGTTTGTCTCCAGGATTTCTGGAGGACTTTAAATATTTTTTGGGGGACTAAACATATTTTAACTTCTAACTATATATTTGCATGCAATTTATTAATAGAAATTTTTATTTTTTCTTCCTAAACTTCCTGTGTTTGCCTTTTGAGGATTTAATTCTTTTATTAACTTTGTTTACAAGTATAGAATATACAATTGCAAACAGTCATATAATCGAGGTGCGGGATGACAAATCCACAGAATTTTAAGAGAAAAAAAAAAAAAACTGTTTACATATTAATTGCTTCACTTAGGGTTGTAAGTTTCACAGCTTTAGAGTTGGTGCACTTTTCTTAAGAGTCTAAAAAACATCTTGCATAAGCTCTAAAAAAAGTGAGGTTGTTTTTATTTCTTTAGCAAATTTGCAGGCATGTATGTGGAACTTCGCCAACAGAATAAAAAAGTTTAAAAGATATTCTTTCCCAGACATACTGTTATTGGAAATGCCAAAGAAAACATGTTTGACATTCAAAGGAATAAGTATATTTCATTCTCGACTAAAGAACATGTTGAAGTCACACTGAAAGAGCATTCCCACAATAGGTGGGTTATTGTTTCTTGTTTGACGTGACAAAAGGAACAGCGAGGATCAATATTTGGAAAATATTTATAAATTTTTTAATTCAACACCTGTGTATAATTTAAAGGGACACCTCCCTTACTTTATTTGAAAGAAAAAATGTTCTTGGCCACAACCATGTATGTTCCCAATCAATATCTGAATAAAGATCATTCCAAAAGAAGATTAATGCAGGTTTGCTAATAGTATTCCTCTGAATGATTTCTCTAATTTGTTTATTTCTAGTTTTAATGTTAAGAAATGGATCTGAATTACCAATAAATAACTCTGGAAATCGAGGATATTGGACATGGTCGCTACCTGAGGTTGATATAAGAAATTTCAAACCTGCTGGAATAGCGCCAAAAACAACCGCAAATTTTTAGGTGTCACAGGGAAATTATATTTATAAAGAAATTCACCATAGACTTTTGGGGATTGTCTGCATTCACTTGCTTGCTGTTGATGTGCACTTCCTCTGTTGTCCTGCAGGAGGTGCAACAAGTCAAAGCGCGGCCGCAGACAGAAGCAGCACCTGGGCCATTTCTCATCAGGGACGTCCTCCCGGATGATGTAGCCACTGTCATTTTTTCCCTCATCATGTTTTTATATAAAAATCCAACCCGTCCAATTTTTCGTACCACACAGACAGACTGCAGTTTTATATATCGACTTCCCGGTGCCTCGGTTATTATTTCCGTCCCTTTTTTAATGTATATGAGTTGAGATTTTTTAAAGGGGCCTTATTTGTAAGATTTCCTTTCATATTTCCTTGTTTTTTTCTGCTGATCTGAGTTAACCGTGTCTCTGTCCAGCTGCTTCACGCTCTGAACACTGTGGATCCAACAGGAAGCAGAAATGTATTTATCTGATTGTATCATTACTGCATAGTCATCATCAGGCTTCTTCTGTTTTGCCCTGTGGGACGCATGCTGACGCTGTGTAACTGGGTTGCTTTGCCTTTACCTTCAGAATCGTATTTCTAACTGTTTTTATGGCCTAAAAGAGGCAACATAGTGAAGCTAGGAAACCTTTCATCCCCTCATGGATCAGGTTAGTTAGCAATGGCTAAACACAGATTTTCTTTCACTTCTGTCTGACCAATTAGGATTGGTGGCTGAACCTCACCTGCTCATCAGATTAAAAAAAGGATGCAGATTGGAAATATATGTCATTGACTTTAATGAAACATAAACCTTATATTTTCAGGCCATCTTATTCAGATCCGCTCTGCTGTGTGATCTGATGATAACTGCACTGATGTAGGCCAGTATGAGATCCTCACATTATGCCCAGCTGAAGTGAAAACCAAGAATTCACCAACTAATGGAGTTTGACAAAAATAATTTATTTCTTCATGTTCTCAGTGTGACACATTGAAATGTACACCCCTCATATGTGCCGGCACAGGCGTAACTTTCTGAAGGACTGGTGGGGATAGTCCCCCCACCAATAATTTCAGTACATAGACTTTGGCAATATGTGGGACACATTTCTAAATTAGATGTTGCTGCTTTTGAAGGAGGATATTCACTGATGTAGCTGAAAGGGAAAACTCCATCATTCAATCCACATTTGCCCCAACTTTCAGCCTGATCGTGCATCGTGTAGTGTACCGGAGATAACGAGGGGCGATCAGCCTCTGACACCACCTCCCGATCAGGAATTGTGAGGTCTGCAGAAAATCAAACGTTTGATTTTCAGTTGAACGTCATGGGCAAATTCAGTAGGCAAACAAGGATTCTTCTTCTTCCTCTCAAATGTAAACACAGAAGCATGGCGGGGTGCGGGGGAAATGGAGTTCTTTCTGTAAAACGGACAGACCGTAGTAGCCACATTTGCTCAGCCATGCCTTTGTCCAAATACGTCGTCGCCTTTTTCTTTCTAGGGATTTCAGCACAAATTGCCAAGGCAGAGCGTTTCACTCTCGTTTGGCTTCCGGGTAGACGAGTCCAAAGAGCGCAGACGTGGTTTTTAGACGTACAGTGTGAGCAGGTAGATCGCATCAGAGTGTCATGCTGAACATGCATCGTGAGCTGTGAACTCACACTGTACAACGAAACCCCACGGTTTTGTCGTACAGTGTGAGCTGTAGCTGCGTGCAAAGATTGAAAAATGCACAGTGTATGCCTGGCTTAAGCTAGTTGATCTGCAGTCCACAGCAACAGGTGGGGGAGGGACTGACATGTATTGCATATGGCAGGTCGATCAACCATTTGATCCCTGTATTCCTTCAGTCTATTTAATGCCCTGTTGGCATTAAATCTGGCGTCATTTGTTTTTATTTTAAATCCAGTTTAGAGCAAACAAGAACTGCTGAACTCTCAGGAACAGGAATAATGAATCATAATCCGATTTGGTTTAAGGGAATAAAGAATTAAAATGATTATTTCCATCTTATTAAAACTGGTCATTGGCTGCAGATTTTGTTTTTGTCCATTTTCAGTTTAAATTATTTTCTTCCAGAAAGTAGAATACAAGTTTTTGGTACATATTCCAACAGTTTTCTTTTAAATTTAGAATAAAAACAATATTTGGTGAGAAACTGCTCCTGTAAATCATTTTGTCCAAAGTTTTTATTCCAAGCATGTTGTAAAGCCTTAAATCTCCAGGGGCCACTTTGCATCCGTACCCCAGGGTGGTCAGGCACCAACGGCCCCCTCTGCTGATTGTTTTCTGTGTTGCTGCGTCTCACAGGGTCAGAAATAAATAATTTTACATTTAATGCAGACTTTCAGTTCGTTGTTCTGTGTTTATGATGAGATGCACCTGAAAACCAAAATGCTGTTTTTTCTACTGCCTAAGATTTAATGAGGTACAAGCTGACCTGTACAGGTTGTTATTATTATTGATTGATTTTCAGATATTATGGCTTCATTTTCTTGAAATGGATATGGATGTTTTTGTGCTGGTGTTTGGAGGAGCCGAGGATAATTTAAAATGTTCTTTTTTAATATTCTAAACTTCAACAATGGTACGAAGTGTCAATGTTTAAATGTGTTAGAAGGAGTAGATGGATAAGCTGGCCAGAGGTTCCTTCCGGTGTCGCCGACCTGAGATCAGATGGTCTCTGGGAGGCGGCCCCTGCAGGAACTCCACCTGATTTTGCTGTAGATGTTGCGTCCTGCATGAGCCAGTGAAGTTGTTAAGATTGTGATGTAGCTGAACTAGAATTAAATTATGATGTTGTAACCTCTGTGTCCTGGTTTTATTTTCTTTATCTTACTCTGCTTTAAGGAGTCTGCATTTAAAATGCAAGAGCCGTCCGACTCGGGGTGGGTAGAACATACAGGTTATTTATTTAAATGTTAAGATTTTAAGCATCTTTCCAGTATAACATCTTAATCCTTAGATTGGATGTCTTCACAAGGTGGTCCGCGACCCCTTTGGGGTCCACGGAGGTACTGCATGGGGGTCGCAAAAGTTTTGGTTGAATAGACTTTATTTTTAGATTTCCCCCCGCGATTTTTCCAATAATTGAAATGTCTTTAAATACACATTAACATGAATTCAACACACTGTAGTAAACAGATAAATGGAGGCAGAATATGTCTTTAAAGGGGTGATAGAATGATTCCATAGGGTATTTGGTGCTGGTCTTTAAGGCCTCTGAATAGGGTGTAACATTGGCATATTTGCTGTTCTATGAACCTTAATACAAGCCTGGTTAAAAGCCCTAGAATGAAACGACAGGTTTTCTTCCTTTTATGGTATGCTCATTAATATTTAGATGAGCTGTGCGCTGATTGGTTGGTTTGCAACGAGCGAAGCTTGAAGACGCATCATTGGGTCCGGTTCAGTCAGCCCACCCCCTTTGAGCCAGTGAACCAGTGGGCTGGTCTGTATGTCAATTTTGGGGCGTGACAAAAGTACAGGCCAGAACCGAATAAGGCAACATCCCCAAATTGATGTAAACTTGGTGCTTCATTTTTATTCCCCCCATTTTATGATGGAAGTTTAGAATTGTGAGATTTGCAGAGAAAGGAGGTGTTGATGGGGTTTGAACTTCTCTGTACGTCCGTTTCACCCACTGAACTATCGTTATTTATCTATGACAATAGAAACTCGGTTTTGCATTCTATGACCCCTTTCAGTCATCAATGCACACATTCAGCGAAACACAGGAGCTCTTTCAAGCTGTGTGCCGTTTCATTCACAACACCTGTCCCATCAACCAGGAATCAGAAATACTTAAATAATTCCAAGGCGAAATTACTTTCATTACATGACTCCATCTGTAACAGAGTGACTATAGGACCAGTTTGATATAACAATATTTCATACAATATATATAATTAGGGGGTCACCGCTCCATCAGATTGAGGTCCTTGTTCTGAATATCCCTGCTTTAGATCATTGTCTATATAAAAAAGTGCATGTTTTTCTTTTATAAATTATTTTTCTCTTTACCTTCAACATCTGATCTTGAGTTTGGAAATTCACAAATAACTTTTTCATTATGTCTAAAGAAGTAATCATCTAAGAAGGTTTCATGTAGTTATTTAGGTGAGAAAGCAATACAAGTATTCATTAAAAATCACACAAAACAAAATCACATTAAGCTCTAAAACAGGATAAATGTGTAATGTTATACTGAAAAGACTTTTGCTAAAACTGAGAAGCCATTATTGAACAGAGGGGGAGGATTCAGATTTCAGCTTTCAAACAAAACCTGGAAATCATTAAGAAAAAAAATACATAAGCATTCTCCTCATAATTCAAAAAGCCAAACACAAAACCCATAATTACAAAGGACAGTGATGGTTGGCTTTTTGTTTTGTATCTGAATTAGAATGGTTTTAGGAGGATTGGCCTCCATGCTCATCAAATACATCAGTGCTCCAACTACAGGTTGAACTGGTGCAGCTGAGAGAATTGATAAAGACTCCTGGAATGTTGTGGAAACATTTTCAGACAAACTGAGTGAAAGTCTGGTTCCCTCTGGTTTAAGACTGTTATGGAAAATATGCTTATCTAAAGGGGAAATAAACCACTGAGATTTACGTTTTTGTAGTCTACAAGTTACTCTGCTTAAACACATAGAACTCAAGTAGACCTTTCCATCTTCTGAAATTGAGGACATGTTCAGGTAATTATCTCCAGTTCAGAAGTTTTGGAGAAAGAACATATAAGATCCAGGATTTGGGTTTAAGACAACTGCCTTAAAATAAGCTGTAATGCCTGAGTCCTTTCACTTCCTGGTTCCTGTCATGAGACGTTTGGGTCCACATATCATATAAAGTGCTGGAGATTCAAGGGAAATTACTTTATTTTGCATGTTCCAGCAGGGAGTGTGAATATTTGAATTCATGTATCAGTAGTTAATTTCAGAAGGTGTGTACTGAAACTTTCCTCCAAAACATGAACTCCTGGTTCTGCTCTGAGCTGCTGCTGTTAAACTGACTGCAAGCTTCAGTAAATCAGAAGTGAAATCAGAAGTGAAACCCGGTGCCAATCAACTGTCCAAGTCTCCCACACGAAGGTGGGATAAAAATAGCAGTGAGGGCTGGATAAATATAGGCAGCAGCTGGTGGAGGACTTTAAACACTGGGGAGTCCCCTGCTCTGTCTGACTCCTTCCCTCTTTTCTCAGCTCTTGTTATCCCCCTAATGCCCTCACACCTGTCGTCATCATCTTTCTTCTTTTTACCACTTACCGGTAGCTTCTTTCCACTTTAAAAACCCTTCTTTATTTTTATTTAAACAGGTTCAAATATATGTTTATGCAACGTTTTAGGGAGGAAGACATATGGTTGAGTACCAGAATGCTTATGTTTGAACTTTTATATTCATTATGCTGTGGCAGGAAAATCATGAAGAGTTATAGATTGAGAAACATGATAAAGAGCATTTATGCAGATAGTTGTGGAGTTGTAGTCTGACAATATAAAGATATGTTAAAGATTGATAAGGTAGGATTTAATTAAACAAGGTCAAAATGTGCAGTACCACTAATGGCCTCTAGAGCAGGGCTCTGCAACCTTTACAAATCAAAGACAATTTTTTCACTTCAGTCCATTTAATCTAAC